TAATAATTATAATATATATTAGCCATCAGAACCACCTAGAGCTCCTATACCTGAATGGCCAAGTCATTATCTTAGCTTTACAAAAAATAAAAACATCGACACCACCTGTAATGAGATGGCACCTTGCTCGAGTGCAGTATGATTATAGTGGGAGTGTGGGAACTAAATATTGTAAGAAGATAACTAATACTCTCTTTTATCATAGGTCAGAGTCAGTAAATCTACATATTATCTCACTTAACCATATATTACTTTAGAGTCTTGACGAAATTCTGGCCCATGTGAAGATTAGTTCCGCATCTTATTTACTCGATTATAACACCTCAACGTTACTTGGGGGAGTGTTAGGTTAGTGTTAGGTTAGTGTTAGGTAAGGTTAAGTTTGGGATATTAATCATGAGTTAAAATAATCAAGGGGGGGAGGGTTATCTTGTTGCAGAATTTAGTCGAGACTTTAACCTGTATACCAATTGTTGTAGGGTATTTGTATTTGATCTTCGAAATTGAACTTATGAGTTCTAATTTTAACTCTGTGTTTGTGACATATACTGTATACCCCTTCTTGTTGCTCAAGGCTGCATGGTGAACTCAAAGCACAACGGTGGTGACTTCGTGTCAGCTCTGTGTTGTAATAATTCGTGTTAGTTGTGTATTGTAATAATTTGTATGCGTTTTGTGCTCTAATAATTCATGTATGTTTGTCTCATATACTGACTGGTTTATGCTGGTGAACACTGTGGCTCATACGTACTGAACACTGAATATTATAACAGTTTATAGTTGTGAATTCTATTTTTTCATTGTAAATTGTCAGTATAACGAGGCATAAAACCCGCTATAACACAAAAGGAAACTGAATATAACTAGAATACCAGACATTCACTACCCAATCCTCCTCACCTACAGGACCCTCAACAGTATGGAGGGAATTGATTCACCTACAAGAATTACCAAGAGGGCGTTCTCTTTGACGTCTTTTATATCACATTGAAGCCCAAGTAGGACATAGAGTCGAGATGTCTTGCACCCTGAAGGCTAACTGGTTCACATCTTATTTTCCATTTATTATTTATTATTTTATTTAGGTAGTTAAGTGTTTGTAATGTGGTCGTTACTGGCATATCATCATTATGGATTAACTATTATGCAACTGTCGTCCTCGTTATTGCAACAGTCTGTATGGTAGATGATAGAGTTGATTTTCTGGTCATTGCAACAATTGTTATGGTGGATGAGTGAAGATTATTTTCTACCGCTAAAGATTATTTTCTAGTGATTGCGCAACAGTTCTCACGGTCCGTCGAAGCAGTGATGTTCTCCTTATTGCACTAGTCCTTACGGTCCTTGTTGCCATCCTTCAACACAATTGATCCTCTGTTGCACTCGTTCTAATTTTCTTCTAAGTCGGGAGGGGGACTTTAGCTGGTCTGTTCCACACTGGCCCCAGACTGTCGTATCCTTGGCCAGACCAGTCGGCCCTGACGTCACCCGCACTCGGGTATATAAGGCCTGGTCGACGTCCCGATCGTCAGTCGAACCCAGATAGTTCAAGTCACCAGAATGAGACAGCTTGTAAGTCCCACTCTTTTCTTCTTAGTATTTGTGATGCGATACTTATATTGTCGTAGTGATTATACTGACTCATGAAAGTTTCTTACCTGTCTCCTAAAGCCTCATAAAGTCTTAATATCAGATACAGTTAAGAGAAATTCAGAACTTAATATTTTAATCCTTTGTGATTTTACGTGTCGATTTGATGCACTGGAGTATGTTGTTACGTCACCTTTGATTCGAATTTTTTTAAAGATGTTCTGTTCTCTTTTGCGTTGTTTCAGTACGTCACTTATACGTTCAGGGAAGTATCGCCCCACGTCGTTTATTGGCAGTGTTGTGATTTTTGTGGTCCAGATAAAGATGGTAACCCGTGTGCTTAGTTTTTCACCCATTGGTCACTAAACAAGATGGATTTTACTACAACTTCTTACCACAAACAGCATTAAATTTTTTATTATTGTGATTTTAGTTACCAGAAGCGTAATAATTTTATATCTATATTATCGGATTTGTTTTTTTTTAGTCGTGATTTAACTTTTTATATTGATCTTTATTTATTTACTTGAGTTGCTTCTTAAGATAACCAGAAAATGACTTCTTCGGTCTGAAATTACCCTTAAGTTTACTTTAAATTTTGATGTTTAATCATGAGAACCACCTATATGGTCTTTCATCTCCGTCTCCAAACATCAACTGTGTATGTCTCCGTCACCTTCTGGTATTACCTCTCGCACCTTTAGGTCTTCTGGTATGACCTCTCGCACCTTTAGGTCTTCTGGTATTACCTCTCGCACCTTAGGTCTTCTGGTATTACCTCGCACCTTTAGGTCTTCTGGTATTACCTCTCGCACCTTAGGGTCTTCTGGTATTACCTCTCGCACCTTTAGGTCTTCTGGTATTACCTCTCGCACCTTTAGGTCTTCTGGTATTACCTCTCGCACCTTTAGGTCTTCTGGTATTCTCTCTCTCACCTTAGGGTCTTCTGGTATTACCTCTCGCACCTTTAGGTCTTCTGGTATTACCTCTCGCACCTTTAGGTCTTCTGGTATTCTCTCTCTCACCTTAGGGTCTTCTGTATTACCTCTCGCACCTTTAGGTTTCTGGTATTCCTCTCACCTTTTAGGTCTTCTGGTATTCTCTCTCTTTAGTCTTCTCTCACCTTAGGGTCTTCTGGTATTACCTCTCGCACCTTTAGGTCTTCTGGTATTACCTCTCGCACCTTTAGGTCTTCTGGTATTCTCTCTCTCACCTTAGGGTCTTCTGGTACTACCTCTCGCACCTTTAGGTCATCTGGTATCACCTGTATTTCACCTGGTAGTTCCCTAACGTACGGTTGCGTATTTTTATCCTTTCAGGTAGTGATCGTGGCGGTCCTTGGTGCGACTATGGCAATGCCTCAGGTCGCCCGAGACAACACCTTCACCAAGATTCTCTCATTCGAATCTTTCCAAGATGGCAATAACTTTGGCCACGAGCTCGCTCAAGAGGACGGCACCACCTCTGGTCAGAAGATAGGCCCCGACGGTCTTCTGTATGGGTTCTACTCTTACATCCAGCAGGACGGCAACCGCGTGAAGGTTCTGTGGAGGGCAGGTGAGGGCGTCGGATACGAGGTCCTCGGTGTTGAGGGTCTGAACCAAGAGGGTCTTGGCAACCTGAGGGCTCACAATCAGCCCTCTACAGCCCCTAGAACCGTCGCCCCACGGCCCGCTCCCCGTTCCCGTGCCCAGTCTGTGCCCCGCGTGCCTCCTACTCCTTCCCATGCCCCAGTCCACATCCCCCGCACCGCTTCCACCCTCCCTCAGGGCCATTTCATGCCCACTCCTGCCCCTATTTACCCCCAGGATCCGTCCCATACCCCCCACAGGTTCGACTACCCAGCCGTGCTCAACCTGGAGAGAACAGGCACTGGGTACGTGTCTTCCCTGACGGCGGCGTAAAGATGGCGTCGGTATCTCTGTATAGTTGAATATAAAATTATATTTGTCTCTTGTAGAGTCTTAATGATTAAATAAAAAACTCCCATTTTTTATATATATATACCGAAGTATTTTTCACTCAACCTAAACAAGAACAAAAACTCGCTGACAAATAAGAAAATGACACAAAAATGAGACAGGGATGAAGGAGTGAAGGTCAAGATAAACACTGATAGACAATAAACATAACATAAATTGCTGCCAAAAGAGAGCAACCTTGAACCGGAGCTGGCGGTGTTACCAGCCACCTGACCACCAAGCTAACGGGAACTGATTAAATATGCACTCAAGAGCCTCGCCCAACTGTCCTTGAAGGTCACGCCTCACCCACCGGGCAGACGCTGAGGAGAAAACACACCTTTACACACACGGGTGACGGGGCCGCAGTGGCCTTGTAAGGAAGGCTGCGAGGCTCCCTTGTGTCAATTCCGTCTCGTGTGCTGGACAAGAAGTCTGAGACGGCCACTCATACGGCAAGCACGAACTAGTTACTAGCATATGTTCCCTATTAGCACGGAAACCAGCTAGTTACAAGGTCATACACCAAGTGGTATTTTGGGAGATTTTGTCTGAATCTAAAGAATAACTTTTCCTATTTATCTGGTTCCTTCACTGAAACTGATTGAACAGTTTATCTGTCCTTTGAGTATATGCAGACAGCACTCCAAGTACCTCTTGTAAACTAACAACAACAACAACAGAGCGATTTATCACAGCGATAACCAGAGATTGCCAGCAGAGATTTACCAGTCAAATGACTCATTACCTAGCAGGCGTCGACCAATCAGAAGAGAGAGTGTGGCACCAGGGGATATAGGTCACGTCCTGGCCGAAAGTGAAGGAAATAGCTCCTCCCACCAACACACAAATGTCAAGGTCGTCCGCTCCTCCACTCAACGAGGAAATGGTTAAACGCGATCAAGTTTTTATGTATCAACTTTTTTTTTTGAGTCACCTTTCCAGTATCTGATTAAGGTGGCGTTGTTGGACTGCCGCTGCAGGGCGGGACTTAGCTGTTAACATTATATACAGTTGAGAAAGGTTTTGTGTGTATCGGGTTTTGCCTTGGTCTGAAGTTGTGTGAAGGACTAAATAAATATAAACTGGTGGTGGTGTTCTGTTTTGTTCCAGCCTCTGGCAAAGTCCAGGCCGGAAGAACTTTACTTGAGTGACACTTCGTTAAAGACAAGTTCTAAAAATCTTGTAAACGGTCCTTGTGTCTTGACACTTCCTGAGACGTTCGGCTGAGCACTGTATGGTCGAGGTTATGAGCCAGGTGGACGGGACCTTCAGTCTATTGGTTTAACATTTACCGGAATCCCGCAATGGGGACAAGTAAGCCTGTCTTACCCTCAGGCGTTCCGCATCGTGGTGGTGAATGTTTGTGTGTACTCTACTTTGAACCTGCCTGTGTGCTCACCTACCTGCCTTTCCTGTGTGCTTGTATATTTGACCAAACAGCAAGATGAATGTACTGCATTGACGGATATATATATATATATATATATATATATATATATATATATATATATATATATATATATATATATATATATGAACAGACCGCATGTTATTTAATTTATCCCACTATTTGTTGCCGCCAATGTGAGGTAAACAAACAAGGAACATGGCCCAGTAACAACTGGCACGAACTTCTGTGACCCTCACCTCCCTATAACCTGCCACACCCGCCTGACCACACCATCACCTCACCACCACTACACCATCCATCACCTCACCACCACTACACCATCCATCACCTCACCACCACTACACCATCACCTCACCACCACTACACCATCCATCACCTCACCACCACTACACCATCACCTCACCACCACTACACCATCACTTCACTATCACCTCACCTCGCTATCACTTCACCATCTCACCATACCACCACCTCACCACACCACCATCTCCCTCCCTATCACCACCCCCCTCCCGTAACCTACCTGAGGGTACACCATTTTACTCCAGTTACCTCGGGAGTGATAAAACAAGCTCACCTGTCTACCTTCATTAATATTTATACAGGTAACTTGTTATATATTGTAATGATTATAAGTTGAAGGTGAAACCGAGTGAATAATGTCATTAATTTTGTGGTTTTTGGTGGGAGTTTAGAGAACGCTTTATCAACGTAAGGATTCAATGTTTTACCCTTCAACTGCTAACCTTGGAAAAATATTTTGATTACCTCTCCCCATCTCCTCTCCCCCATTTTTCTCTCACTTTTCCTTTCTATCTTTCTACTATCCCCCATTTCCACGACCATCATCTCCATTCTTATTCCCCCGCTAATCTTTTATCTTCCCTCTCTTCCCTACCCCTCTCCCCTCAGTCTCTCCCCCACCTCCCCCCTCTCTCCTCCACCTCTCCCTCTCTCCCCACCTCCCCCTCTCCCCCCCCTCTCCCCACCCCTCTCCCCTCAGTCTCTCCCCCCACCCCTCCTCCACCTCTCCCTCTCCCCCACCTCCCTCTCTCCCCACTCTCCCCTCAGTCTCTCCCCTCAGTCTCTCCTCACCTTTCTCGTCCTCACACCACCACACTCACCTTGCAGTTTATATTATTTCGTAACCAGATAATTATTGTCTCGTGTATATCACCTTATTATTATTATTCATTAAAGATGGACATTTTTTTTATGCTTCTCTGGTGTATAATTTGTCATGTCATGTCTTGTTTGTCTGTCTGTCTGTCTGTCTGTCTGTCTGTCTGTCTGTCTGTCTGTCTGTCTGGTTCTCATAAAAAAACTGTAAATTATAATACGCCAACGTTCTTATCCACACCCCGCCCACGTCATCACCATCACGTCCACACCCCGCCCACGTCATCATTATTACGTCCACACCCCGCCCACGTCATCAACACGTCTATATATCGCCAACGTCATCACCAACACGTCCATACCCCACCCATGTCATCACCATCACGCCCACACCCCGTCAACGTTATCACCAACACGTCCACATCCCGCCCATATCATCACCAACACGTCCACATCCCGCCCATGTCATCACCAACACGTCCAAACCCCACCCACGTTATCACCAATACGCCCACACCCCGCCCATGTCATCACCAACACGCCTACACCCCACCCATGTTATTACCAACACGCCCAAGCTCTCACAAACACGTTCCCATTATTTTTCACTGCCGCACCTTGACCCTTTGATAAAATATTGAGGTTCCTCGCGTATTCTGAGTTGCCTAATGTCGTCACGTACTCTCTCTCTCTCTCTCTCTCTCTCTCTCTCTCTCTCTCTCTCTCTCTCTCTTTTCATGTAGTTTGGGACCCATTTGATTAGGGCCCCGTAAGGATTGTAATCAATAATAACCAATAAGAACTTGGGCCCATTAAGACTGTCCTCCAGTCGTAATGGTTAACGCAGATAGGTGAAGTTAGACTAAGGCCTATTAAAACTGGGCCCCAACCCCATGTATAGTTAGATTAGGTTAGTTTAGGGCCTTGTAGGACAGCGACTTATTTGTTCAGTTACCAGTAATATTGACTATACACCCGTCTATTTCACTGACCACCTGCAGTGTATAATCCCAGAGAGTGGTACATGCATTTATTTACATTTTTCTTCTTTCATTATTCGCTTTCCTTCTCCGTTATCTGTTCTCCCTACCACAACACTGCCAACCACGTGAGACGATTTCTGTAATGGGTTTTCTAACTTCCAGAACACGTTTAATCAACTTACGAAACTTATTATCTCATTATGGCGACATCCAGCAGGTTTAAGTAACTTTCCATCTAGAACAATAAACTCTCACTTTCATGATTTGGTGACCATCAGTTTCTTCTGTTTACTATCATCCCTACCTGGCCTAGGAGACCCTGAATCAGCTGTGACCACCTGTTCGTGTCACAGCTGCTTAACATCTCGCTGGCCTCGACGGAAGAGGTTATGGCTAGCCCCCCTCACTCGCCTTTCCGGTTTTTTTTTGTTTGCCTTTTTTTTTCTCTGCTCGCCTTCGTTCCCTGTCCTTTCTCGTCGTCTGAGACCTTCACTCTTGTTTCTTGTTCTTGTTTCAGTGAGTGAGAAAGACCATCTAAGTCCTTAAGTTTTTCCTAGTGATTCCCATGTGAGGACGCTCCAGATCTTCTTAAACCTTCCATTCGATCTTTTCAGAATTCACCCGCGTGTATTCTTCAGTTCCTCTTAAAAAGCCTTGGGTCTGTTTTTTTTTTCTGGATTTAACTATTTTGTATTTTAATTCCTGGTTCTGCTTCATCTGCTGTGGGTGTTCTGAAGTCTTCTGGATTGCCTCTTTAAGATTTTATGAACCATCGAAGGCAAGACCAACCTAGACAGTCTCTAGTCCTTCCGGATAATATACGAGGTGTAACTAAACCCTTCCAGACCTTCCTCGTCTTCCCTTGGTGGTGCTCAGGTGTAAAACGACACTTCTAGACCTTCCTGAGCTCTTCCTGATGCTTTCTAAACGATGTCAGGTTCTCGTAAATCCTTTTTAGTTCTTCCTCCTTCCTGTTTACGTTTTCTGAGTTTTATTACAGTTTCCTCAATCACTTTGTCGTGATACGTTTTACGACCGTGTGTCAGCTTGGTTCTCTCCATCTCCTCGCTTTTAGATCATCCAGGAGACGCTTCGCCATCCACGTTTCTCTTGTTTTTTACTCCTTGTTCTGTATCACGTTGTAGCCTTAGTGACCGATTGTCCATTGTTCAGCATCCACTTACCAACATTCACGTTGTTGTGAAGACATACAGAATACTGTAGCTATAACATAAATACTGTATTCATGCGTGCCTCGAACACTCAGTTCTGTGGTGCTGAATAGTATGCACCAAATTTCCAACATTTCCATACGTATGTTAACTGTCGAGTATGCCATTTGACTCGCTGATTTTTATATTATGCAACTCAAATTATTAAATAAATAGAAGAACTGTATCCTCCCTTAGTTAGGTTACCCTCAGTCGGAAAAAGTGTCCTACTGAATACGTCCATCCTTTCTAAATGTTTTGACAGTGAAATTATTTAATAATGAAAATTTCGTGTAGATGGTGAACTTTGGCCATT